TGGCACAGTACTTTGAATTATGCCAGTACTACATTGTAAAACAGAGTTGTATTTTTTGATATTTAACAATGCTTAACACTTTAAATGCCACTTCTGAGGAATGGACCTGGTGTAACACACTTGAATATGTGTGATGCCAAACTTTTTAAAATAAAATATAAATTATGCTTATTTATTAATTTTCTTTAGTTTAATCTTGGTCATGTTTTGGTGTGTATTTTTAATTTTTTTCTCAAATTAACACTTTGGCATGAACATTACTGCAGGTTTTTGATGAATATAATGAATGTATGGAATTCAACTGAATTTGCATGGTCTTAAGAATTTTTCTGTGTGTATAAATTTAGCTGCTATTAACAGAAGAGAGAACTTTCTGTCAGTAGCCATGTGTGTTGATCAGATACAGTTTTTCTGAGATCTTCAATTAATCTCACTTTAAAAATGACCAAAACATGTCTTTCTTGAATTATCTTTGAATAAAGGTTTGTATATTATTTGTTTCACAGTGTTCTTGATTTTTATCTATTTAGTTTTGTATTAAGAAAGTTTCCTGTTTGTTTTTGGCTCTTTTATGAAGTTTGCATTTTGTCACTTCAGAAATCTGCATTTTTAATTTATTGCCAAAGTGACCTGACCTATAAGACAAAACTATTAAATGAATAACCAAAGTCAATAAAAATGGTTCTGTTTCCAAGGAAAAGTAACCTCAACTATCAAGGAGAGGTCTGTCAAGGATTGGTAAAGTTTAAACTTTTTGTATTTTTGTGTCCCTGATATGGGTAGGGCATGAGATAAGGATAAAACAAGTAGCATTAGACCCCAAAGAAAGTCAAAAAATATATTCCAAAGTAACTGAGAAACTGTGGTTTTGATACCAAATAAAAGGAATTGAGGAAATAGGAATAGTGGAGTCAGGTAGGCAGCCGGGGTGCTGGCACAGCAGAGGAAGGGAAGAGGGGGAAGGAGGAGGTGATGGAATATTGTGACCATTCCTCAGGAATTAAAAAAGTTGGCATGAGCTGTTGCTAGAACAGTTGATAATCAAGAGGAAAGATTGCTATGATAACATTTCAATTCAAATGTAAACATGGAACCATATTTCATACTTAGTTGAACTTTCCATTATAAATGAATTTAATCAGAAAAAGCCTATGCTGAGTTGATGAAAACATGAATTTCTGCCTTAGTGTGGCCTTACAGCACATCATTGTCAAAAAAATGTTGAAGGTCTAATGAACTTGGAGTACTGTCAGCTGTTTCTGACAGAGGCACCAAGAAAAATGTATGAGGTGTCTTTCCTGATCAGTTCCAAACACTAATGTTTCATGAAACTGTATGACTCTATCAACAATTTATCTGAAAAATTATAAAGCTTTTCTTAAAATGTAATCTCAGCCTATTAAAGTAACAAAGTCTTAACCACATAGCATGTCAAATACCTCTGTCTTTACTTTCTTAATCTTTGAAGCTTTAATAGCTACACTGTAATTTGCCAAGGTTTGTCAGTAGCTGGATTCATATCTATGACTTCAGAGACTTTAGACATATCTCCTTCCCCTATGCCAACCTTTGTCTTTCCAGTTTGAAATGTTTTTAAAGGCACATATGGAAGTGTTCTCAGCCTGTTCCATTACTGTATGAAACATAAGAAGTTAAGGCAGAGAGGTGTCTTAGAAATCCTGTCAAGGAGGCAGCCCCAGGTTTGAGCAGCGTTCAAGGCTGGATCCACATACCTGCGTTGTGAAGCAACTTGTCTGCCTGCTTTGTTTGGATCTATGCCTTCTTGGCTGAAAGCAGTGATGACTATGATGAAGGCAGATGGTGTATTTACTGTCAGAAGACTATCAGTTTGCTCCCTGTTTCTTATGGAGTCTTGTGTATGATTCCTGGTATTTATTATCTCTTTTGTTCCTTATAGCATGAAGACCCAGGTATTTGTAATCCCAACTGCTGATGCGTTATGAGACTTATTTTATCAGACATAAAAGGGTCATGTGATATTACATAGCAGTGTGCTGATACCATCTTGTTTCAGTTTTGTCTCAAGCAAATTTACTCCTACTGACTTACATGGCTGCCAGTGTCTCATTTTGGAGAGGAGGCTACATTGGAGAATGGAACCATACTTTGAGTCAAGATTCTGGGGTTCTAATCCTGGCTTTAAGGAAAAAAGCAGTGTGGTATATTGGAAAGCCCATGGGCATAGAAAGAAAAGGGTTCTGGGTTTGCAGCTCCCTCTATCAATTGCTAGCTGTGACTTTCAACACATTACTTAACCTCTAGCCCTTATTTTGTTTTTAAAATGGCAGTAGTGTCTGTGTCACAAGGTTATTGTTGCATTTGAAAGAAATGATGCATGTTCGTATGCCTGAAATCCAGAGGGCCCTCAATAAATTACAGCTATTGTTCCCTGAGCTCCTGTTAATCTTCATTGTAGGTAAATAAGTAAGTTGAGCTGCTGCATGAGCATTTTTTTCCAGCTCTAAGCCTTTAAGGTTTAAAATAATCTGACCTCTCCATACACCTACACCTGCTCTGATTTAGAAAATGTAATACTATGGTAGAATTCCAAATCAGAAATAATTACTGACATTTACTGATCATATCTTATATGCCAGAGACTGTGCAAAGGACTTTACATACATTATGTAATCATCATAAAGAACTCTGAGGTGTAGGTATTATTATTTTACAGAAGTACCAGATAAGACAGAGAAGTAACTTACCCACTGCTGATAAAATGCCAAGCCTAGGAAGTCTGGCTCGACAGTGGGTGCTATTGATGCTTACCTGATAGGGGATAGCAGATTTGGGCAGAGAGAAAAGTTGGGTGAAAGTTCAGTCATCACACAACCAATAGGATGGGGACCTCTGGAGCTGGGATGCCCAAGCAAAGTAGTCCTACATTGGTTTAAGGGCTTTTATACCCCCGTTTCAACCAGTTACTTGACTAGCTGTTCCCCAGAAAGGGGGTATACCCATGGGGAGAGGTGCTTCTCTTTGGCAGTACTCAGCAGCTGGAGGAATGCCTGCTTAGGTCTTGAAGAGGGGGATCTGGGTGGTGTGCCACAGTATCCACTACAGGACCAACAGATTCATATGCCCACTGCACAGTATACACTGAGACAGCAAGATTTGCAGCAGAGAAAGAGTTCAGTGATGGCAGGGCACTGAGAGGAGATGGGAGGAGACCCTCAAATTCATCTCCTCGAGGAGTTCTGTATTGGGGTTTTTAAGGGGATCCTGGAGGGCAAGAGGCTGGAAAATTAGGGTCGTTGATTGGCTCAGGTAAGGGGGATGAAATCATCAGGATGTGGGAACTGCATTCTTTGGTGAGTCAGCTCCTGGTGGTCCTTCAGACCAGCTGAGTCAGTAGTTTCATCAGCATGAAGGACCTGAAAGATTATCTCAAAGCACAAACTCAACGTTTCATAATGTTCAAGTTGTCTGTAGAGCAGTTAGGGGAAACTATAACCTTGTAACAGGGTCTACATGATTCTGAAGCAATAGGCAAGCAATTATGAGGAAGGGATCAGACAGCAAGTTGACCTAATGATTAATCCTCAGTGTGCCGCAAGCTTGGTTTATTTTCGTTCCCCCCACCCCTTTTTCCCAGATTAATTTGATGAACTATGTAGGGACGGTTTCAGACACCACTCTAAAGGCATCCTAAAGACAGGGCTGACACAATCAAGGGACAGATCCCATTTCATTTGACGTGACCTCTGTCATGATACTTTAGAAAGAATGTGTGTGCCAAACATAAGGGGTAGACGAATGAGTACAGGTCACACTGAATCTAAAAAACACACTTTTCAGGAGGGAACTTCCTCAAGGAGATAGCACCTGAATTGATGGGGCGGCGTGGAGATGGCTGATTATTCCAGGCAGAAGGGCCAGTTTAAGCAAAAGCATGGAGGAGTGAAACAATAGTATTCTGTTTTCAGAAGCTGTGTAGATCTGACACAATATATACATAATCAAAACATCATATGTGCGCCGTAAACACAATTTTTGTAAATTATACCTTAATAAAGATGGAGGAAAAAGGGCCTTCACTAGCCCAAATGATGCCCCTGTGCGGTTTTTTCTTTAAAGGCCCCTTTTCCTTTAAGTGAAAGTTTTAGTATATTATGCATCTGTACACAGTTTTATTATTATACCCCAGTACACAATATTTTAATGTTGAGAGATGGCGTAAACTGAGCTTAGAGCTGCAAAGACCTGCGTCGGGCCCCCGCCCCTGGGCCCTCATCGTCCAGCACAGCAACTGCAACATCACCTGGGCATTTTCAGCTCACGTAGTGAGGTCAAGGTCCTGGGAGCCGAAATCTCCCTTGATGTTCAATCTTTTTAAATCTTTCCCAGCCTCTATTTCTCATCTGCAAAATGACGATAATCGCATGTGAAATTCTCCGTTTTCAAAATACAGGGATTTATTAAAGGATACGTAGGCTGGGGAAACAAGGGAGACGAAAGATCTAAATCTAAAAGGTAGACCAGAAAAAGGCAAGGGTGTCTAGAAACACAGAACAGTCAACATAGATTTTAAGACTCATTTATACTCTTTTCCTCCCGGGTTTGGGAGTTGCGGCTGCTACACAGGTCACAGTTGAAATAAAAGTCCTGGGACGGCGGCTGGCGCGACACTCTCGCCCCAGCACAGCGCAGGCTCTGACTGCCAATCTGCGGGGACCGCAGTTGCCAAGGCGACTCCGCGCTGCAGGGCAGGGCGGCCATCCGTCTGTGCCCGCCCCCTCACGCCGTGACGCGCTCTCACGCTTCCGCGCCTCCTGGCGCCCCGCGACGCCTGCCATTGGCTGGCCCTGCGGGTCTCACTATCCTCACTCCATCCGCGGAGCCAATGGCTGGGACCGCCAGGGGCTCCTTCGCGCGAGTCACACGATGTCGGTAACTGCACAGACCAATCACCGCGCCGAGAAGACGGGGCGGGAGCCCTCGCAGGCCAATAACGACAAGACTGACCGCCTGGCCCACCGGGCTCCACCCCCGAGCCGGGCGAGGCAAGTTCCGAGGTCGGAACACCTGGCTGATCCTGGGTGACGGTGGCCGGCAGTCATCTCGCGGCCGTTCAGGTGAGGGGGTCGGGGGAGTGGCTCGTGAGCGAGGAAGGGGCAGCAGGTGGGCTCCCACCCGGTGCTCCGTGAGATCGAGGGGAGCGGGTTCGGGGTGCGGATGCGCGCGCTGGGCCGGACGCTGGCAGTGGTACCCGAGAAGGGGCGGAGGGAGACTGGAGTGAAGGTGGGCCTAAAGGTACGTGCTAGAAAGGAGGAAAACGGAGTGAAATTCTTCAGTGATGGAACTAGGCTAGGACATGTTTCTTGCCCTTTAAAGAGTGTTGTCTTCGGGAGATGGGACGTAGAAGACAGTTGCAGCACAGGGTGGTAGCTTGGCGAAAGTTATACAAAAGCAGGAAACACTGGAAGGAGGTAAGATGTAATGTGCTTTGGGAGTAGGGGGGTTGGGAAGGGCGTCCGAGAGGAGGTTGCTGAAGGGTGACTAGGAGTTGGATGGGAGGACATCACCTGTAAGGGAACGATATTTCCGTGGGCAGAGAGGAATGAAGCAGTAGCAACCATGGGTGATCAGATACTGTAAAAATGTGAAGTGTAGGATGGCGAGAATGTAACAAATGAAGAGTGAAGAAGTCTGGAAGGACCTCGTGTGTATCAATCACAGAGGAGCTTGATCTTTATGCTTAGGGCAAGCACTCCCTTGAACTTTGAGTGTTTTAAGGAGCTTATTTCTTATGTTTAGATTTATATAGATCCTGGCATTGCATCTTAGAGATAAGGTTTAAGAAGGGCAAGCTTGGAGGCAGGGCAAGTCCAGAAAATGAAGGAGCTGGTGAAATCCGTTTTAAAGTGCCAAAGGACAGAGACTGGCTGACAGCTAAACTTCAAGGTTTCTGAGAATCCACAAATAACTAAATTTATCTAGTCAGCCTGCTCCAGAGTACGCTTCCAGTCATTTAGGTTGCCCAAGAATGAGTAAAGCAAAAGGAAATTCAATTTTCCAAGACCTCGTTTCCCCCCTCCTCTTTAATTCCTTATTCAGTTAGCAACAATATATCCATTCCCTTGCTCCTTTGTGAAAAGTAAGTTCCTGAATGTTAAGTAAACCAAGTGTTTCTAAATTGGGTAAGAGTTTGAAGACTTAATCAAGGCAGCAGAGATGGGAGAGACTTAAAACGTTATGTCTGAGAATTAAGCATTAAAGGTGGTCTAGCATTTGGGCAGGGTTTGTGAGGAGCACGTACTGAACCTTTGGACCTGCTGAGTGAGTTCGTGTGCCTCTGAACTCTCTGATTGGATATGACCAGTAAACTTGGATAATCAGATCCTGGAGTTTAGGGGAGAGGGCAAGAGGTAGAAAGGATGGATATCAGCGTATTTTTAAAACAGAAAATAGTTAAGATCACCCAAGACCATCTAGAATCGTTAGAAGGGAGTAAGAAAGGCGTTATTGGGAAACTTTCCAGCTTGAATTCTCATATTCTTTCTACTCTCCTGGTTGAATTTTTGGAGTGCTGTTCTCTCTGTGCAAAACCCCTCCCTTGACCCTCTCTCCCTCGCTCTATTTTTTAACTTGTCACTTTCCTCTCCTGTTCTAGGTCTCAGTTTAGATAGCACCTTTCTCTAGAAGTTCATAGCACTGTGTATTCCCCCCTTTATTGTTCTTATCACCTAATTTTTGATGGTTTGGACACTAGTTGTTATTCCTCACTAAATTTTGTGTTTTGTGAACTCAGGGGTAAGGGCAGCAGCTGGCACAATGAATGCACAATACTTGTCAGAGTGAATGCATTTGAGTTCCAAGAACCAAGGAAAGGCAGTATTTCAAGAAGAGAAATATCAAATCTTCCAGATTAGTCAAATAAAATAAACTCCAAAAACCAAAAAGTTTATTGAGTTTGGCAACTGGAGATCCATAGTGATTTTTTTGTTTGTTTGTTTTTTTGAGACGGAGTCTCGCTCTGTTGCCCAGGCTGGAGTGCAGTGTTAGGATCTCAGCTCCCTGCAACTTCAGCCCCCCAGGTTCAAGCAATTCTCCTGCCTCAGCCGTCCAGGTAACTGGGAATACAGGCGTGCTCCACGACACCTGGCTAATGTTTTTGTATTTTTTTGGTAGAGATGAGGTTTCACCATATTGGCCAGACTGGTCTCGAACTCCTGACCTTGTGATCCGCCCACCTCGGCTTCCCAAAGTGCTGGAATTACCAGCGTGAGCCACTGCACCCGGCCTCCTTAGTGATTTTAGTAAGAGTAAGTTCAGTGCAGTGATGACAATAGAATGCAGAGTGCAGTTGCTAGAATATAAACAGGAGATAAGAAGATAAAGACAAGTCATGTGAAATACCTTTTCAGAGGGCTTAGGTAAACTATAGGAATTATTCTCCTTGTACTCTAATACTTATTATGGGTTGTATTTATAACTATAGTATAATATAATGGATGACTGCGTGGGCTTCCCCACTTAGCATTTGTTAAGTTAATCATTAACTTAACATTAAACATTTGTTAATGCCCGAAGCATTAGACTTCAGGCAAGTTGCTTAATCTTTCTAAACCTTAGTTATTTTATCTATAAAATGGGGATAAAATAATACCTACCTCACGAAGGTGTGGTAAGGATTGAAATTAAAATGTAAGAGCATGTAGCATGCTTTGAACACAGTTCTTGGCACAGAAAGTGCCCAATAATTGTTAGTTTCTTGTAGCTATTACATGCCAGGTCCTGTACTGAGTGCTTTATATGCATTATCTCTTGGACTCACTGGAAGACCTACTATTTTAATTTCTGTTGATGAGAAAACTGCATCACAGAGAGGTTACCAAATTTGCCCAAGGTCACAGGACAGGACTAGTAAGTGGTCTTGGTTCATCATTGTCAAATTTACTAATCACCTTGTGAAAAATTAAGATTGGGTGGTTGTCTTATTTTACAACTTAGAAGATGATTGAAGACATTTTGTTGTAGGTGGGGAGCCAGATTGCAAGTAGCTCAGTGAGTTGTGTGGGTGAGTTAAGCAATCTTTTTTTTTTTTTGAGACAAGAGTTTTGCTGTTCATGCCCAGGCTAGAGTGCAATCTCAGCTTACTGAAACCTCCACCTCCTCAGTTCAAGTGATTCACCTGAACTCCTGACCTCAGGTGATCTGCCGGCATCAGCCTCCCCAAGGTGCTGGGATTACAGGCGTGAGCCACCATGCCCAGCTGAGTTAAGCAATCTTTATATAGAGCTCTCCTTTGAGAAAGAAGTTGGTTGGTTCAAAGGAAGATAAATGAGACAGTGGCTTGGAAGAGGTAATGGAGGCTAGGAAGGTGTTTATCAACAAAGGAGGCTGGGCACAGTGGCTCACACCTAATCCCCACACTTTGGGAGGCTGAGATGGGAGGATCACTTGAGCCTAGGAGTTTAAGACCAGTCTGGGCAACATAGGGTGACCTATGTCTCCACAAAAAATAAAAATAAAAAAAATTAGCCAGGCGTGGTAGTGTGTGCCTGTGGTCCCCGCTACGAGGGGCTGAGGTGGGAGGATTGCTTGAGCCTGGGAGGTCGAGGCTGCAGTAAGCCATAATTGAGCCACTGCATTCCAGCTTGGGTGACAGAGTGAGACCCTGTCTGGAAAAAAAAAAGAAAAGAAAAGAAAAGACGGGAATGTGTTTTTAGACGTGAGGGAATGGATTCCCTGAAGGGAGAAGGATGAAAGATAAGAAAGGATAAGTGATGGACAAGTTCTTGAGGTAAGGTAAGAACACAGGAAGACTGGTCAGTCTCAGAGGAAAGAATGAATGAGCAAAGAAATTTTGAGGCTTGTAATGACACAGGATGGAACACTATAGTCACTGTGGTGTAAGTCATTTGAGATGAGTAGGACAGAAGAAGGAGGGCATGAAGTGAATTCAGATGCCTGAAGGATTTGGCTAGGTTCTCAATATTCCTTCTGTAGAATGGGATAAAAGGTCAATTTGAGAAGTGTTGGGAAGGGGACTTTTTAAGCACTATTTAGAACGCTTCTGAGGTTTTAAAATACTCATTTTTAAATGGTCCCAAAAAATTCATAAATTAGAAGCAGCAGTGGTGAACATTTTTAGGAAAGTGACTTTTGAAAAGTTTGTATTTTGGTTTGTGACCTATTGACCTTATTTATTATGTAAGTAGAACATGCTCGTTTAAAAGTTTAAATTGTGCAAAAGACATAAGAAATTTTCTTTTCTCTCTTCCATAACACTGTCTCCTACCCCTCCACACTGTCTTCCACAACACTCTCCCTACCCCGCCACACTGTCTTCCATAACACTCTCCCCTGCCCCGCCACACTGTCTTCCATAACACTCTCCCCTACCCCGCCACACTCCATCTTCCATAACACTCTCCCCTACCCCTCCACACACTGTCTTCCGTAACACTCTCCCCTACCCCGCCACACTGTCTTCCATAACACTCTCCCCTACCCCGCCACACTGTCTTCCGTAACACTCTCCCCTGCCCCGCCACACTCTGTCTTCCATAACACTCTCCCCTACCCCGCCACACTCTAACTTCCATAACACTCTCCCCTACCCCTCCACGCTCTGTTCTCCATAACACTATCTCCTACCCGATCACACACCTGTTTTCCTAGAAATCACCATTCTAAATTGTTCCCTTTGTAACCATATGTACATTTGCTGTTTCTGTGTGTCTCTATATGTACATATGCATAGAAGTGCATAAATAAAATATATATCCTTTTCAAAAAATCTTATGTGGGACTCTGGCTATGCATATTATTCTGTAACTTGTTATTTGGATTAACTCTGTGTCTTAGACATCTTTCTACGTAGAGCGTATAGATCTTGTTCTTTTAAATGGCGGTATAATTGTCTATGGAAGGACTTAATTTATTTAACCCATACCTTGTTGATGGCTTGTGTTTTGCTTTTATTTTTTCCTGTTTTTGCTGTTACAAGAAATGCTTCCTTCTATCTTAGTGTATCTGCCTTTGTACCCTTGAATGAGAAAGTTGCTGCTTCAAAGGATGTGTTCATTTTGAATTATGATAGGTGTTGCTTATTTTTCCTCCAGTAATAACACTGATGTATCCCCCCTGCCCACAATGTATGGTCATGCCTGTTTTCTCACCCCCTTACCAGTACTGGACATTGGGCACTAATAATCTTTTAAAGACGTGCTACTCAGGCTAAAAGTTTCTCTTTGTTTTAGGGCGCATTTCCTCATTTGAATGAAGTGAGGATTCTTCCTTGTTTAGTGACCATTTGTCTTTATTTTTCTGTGAACTGCTTTTGTCATTTTTCTATTGTCTTTTTTGTCTTTTTTCTAAATCTCACTTTGTAGCCGTTTGTTGTAAAATGTTGGAAATATTTTTCCCAGTTTGTCATTTTATCTTTGACTTTGTTTATGACTGTCTTTCTATTACCCAGTAGGAAGTACTTAATTTTTATGTACTCGTATTTGGTAGGCTTTTTCTTTATAGGTTCTTTTGGCTGTAAGTGATACATTTAAACCCAGCTATTGCTTATTTAAATTAGAAGCTTTTCCATGAGAACCACACTGACAATTTCTTTAAATATAGCTTGAAAAAAATTTTCCCCTATTCTTTTAGCTATTGTTCTTGAAAATAATGTGTTTTTAAAGGAATATCTACAAATGGAAATGGTGATGATATCCAGCAAATTTTTTAAAATGGTGTAAAACCATTTGTACTCCTTTAGTAATTTTTTGGTAAAAAATTTGTACTCCTTTAGTAATTATTTTAAAAATGATCAGAGGATGCATTTTTTAACTGTTTTATTTTTTGAATTATTGTTTAACTTATTATATGTATTCATTTCTACAGAATTATAAGGCTGTCTGCAGAGATTTGAAAAATGGCAACAAATGAAAGTGTCAGCATCTTTAGTTCAGCATCCTTGGCTGTGGAATATGTAGATTCACTTTTACCTGAGAATCCTCTGCAAGAACCATTTAAAAATGCTTGGAACTATATGTTGAATAATTATACAAAGTTCCAGATTGCAACATGGGGATCCCTTATAGTTCATGAAGCCCTTTATTTCTCGTTCTGTTTACCTGGATTTTTATTTCAATTTATACCTTATATGAAAAAATACAAAATTCAAAAGGTGAGTATAAGGGACTAGAAATAGAATATTATTAATGTTGCTGAATATTTTAAAAGTAAATAGGGCTTTGGTTTGAGAGGCTAAATCAGTGATATACAATAGAAATATAATGAAGCCATGTGTGTAATTTTAAATTTTCTAGTAGAATACATAGAAAACGTAAAAATAAATAAATTAATTTCATAATGTGTATTATTTAACTCAGTAAGTGTAAATTATTGCTGGGTACAGGGTCCATGCCTGTAATTCCAGCACTTTGGGAGGCCAAGGCAGGAGGATTGCTTGAGGCCAGGAGTTCAAGACCATCCTGGGAAACCTAGCAAGACCCTGTCTCTACAAAAAAAATACAAAAATACCCAAGCATGGCAATGTAAGTCCTAGCTACTTATGAGGCTGAAGCAGAGGGATTGCACCACTATACTCTAGCGCAGGCAACAGAGTGAGACCTTGTCTCCAAAAAGAATAAGAAATAAATGTAAACTATTATTTCAACCAGTAATCAAAATCTAAAAAATGCTTAATGAGATATTTAATAAGTCTTTGCAATCCCGTGTGTATTTTACATTAATTTTAGTCTATCTCAATTTAGGCTAGCCATGGTTAAAGTGTTTGGTAGCCACATGTTACTAGCTGAATTGAATAACACAGTCCTAGGTCATTATTGATAATATTTCAAGAATAGTTTATTAAATTGGGCTTTAAGTAGATGTGATGGTTATCTAATTTAAGTTTACAAATTTTAATGTTTAAGCTAGCTGGAAAGGAAAGGTATGGTGATTTGTGCATATTTTTCAGTTCACCCCAACTCTATGTTCCAGCAAATCTCAGGGACTATTAATACAGTATGACCTTGATCAGGGCTATCAAAGTTTTTTTCCCCTAAATATATGGTAGGTAGTTCTGCAGCATTCATATCATCCCAAATAAGGAGGTGAAGCTCCTCGTTTCTGGATATTTGCTTCATTGCACTAAATGTTGAGAGGTCGCTATGTACATGACAAGGTGAAATCTAGTGTGTAGTCTATGAGCTTGACATGAGAATTTGGCGTAGCTTATTAGAAAGATGAATTATTTGTCAGCATTTGGTAAGGTGATGATAGTTTCTAGTGTTTACTGTTTACTTTTCAGAAAAAGTCGCTCCAAACTAAAATTCAAGTGCACACAGTCTTGGTAGAAAGTAGACCGCTGAGAGTATTCATCTATGGAAAGTAATTTCCATTCACTCAGTACAATTGGCCCTCCTTATCCATGGGTTATGTATCCATGGATCCAACCAACTGCAGATCAGAAATATTCAGGGGAAAAAATTATGTCTACACTTTACATGTACAGTCTTTTTTTTTCCTTGTCATTGTTCCAAATAACAACTATTTATAGAGCATTTGCATTTTATTAAGTATTATAAGTGGTGTAGAGATTATTTCAAGTATACGGGAGGATATGCGTAGGTTATAGGTTATGTCAAATACTATGCCATTTTGTATTAAGCACTTGAGCATCTTCAGATTTTGGCATTTGCAGAAAGTCCCAGAACCAATCCCCCAAAGATACCAAGGGACAACTGTATATATTTTGGATGGCAGTCTGTACACATTCTCTGTTATCATTCTGTTAGTTTCACAGCCTCTCCCAGAGGCTCACTTTAAGCAAGTGTTAATATTAATCCTCTCTGGGGATAATACAGGGGTCAGATGACGGCGGACTCCAGGCCAAAGGTGAAAAGAGCAAAGGGTAAAGGTGAAGGAAATGAAAAATAATGTAACCCAAAGGAGAGTATTCTGTGACCCTCAATTAAGGTCACAGAAGTTCCAAAGTGCTTTTTAGAAAAGCACCTGCTTTGAAAGGCAGAATTAAGTTTGGATGTCTAAGTTCTAATGCACCTTTAGGTTGATTGTGGCTGCCATGTGTCACCCAATGATTTATTTATAGAGCTGATGCATTGTATGGCTGGCCAGGCAAAAGCATCCTTTTTCTCCTTCACTGCACTTTGCAAGTGACTCATTGGTTGGAAGTAGTAACCTTTCCAGAGAGAGGAGAGCTTATTCAGGCAAGGGTATATGAGCAGCTTTAAAATATAGTGTGGCAAAGGAAAGAATAAGCTGTAGTCTAGTTGGTCAGAACTGGTTGTTTATGAACAGATTGAAAGGCTGGGTAATACGGTTTCAAGTCTGTACTCAGCAAGTCTTTACGTTTCATAGCCATTAAAGTCCATACTTTGAGCATTTTTGATAAAACGTGATTTTAAATCAGGACTAGTTTTCACAAGTTAAAGGCGTTTTAAAAGAAACCAAAATATCAATACAAATTAATTACAGGTTTATGCATTTTGAAGGCAGATACCCTGATTAACATTGAGGGTATCAATTGTTTAAGAGAAAATATTTGAGAATTATATTTAATATATGCAATAAATGTTTTTATTCTTAAAATTGTCAAAAAGAAGAAGCTGGTGGTGGTGATGAAATAGTACTAAAGACTTTCTGCTTTCAAACAGAACAGACAGCTGGAGAGCTAATGCACATCCTTGCTAGTTAGGGGAAATTTCACAGGAATGAAAAAGTAAAGCAGACTTTGCAGGATCTATTTCTTTCAAAAAAAAATCATACATGTTAGTAATTCTCCAAAAATTTTCCTCAAAGATAAATGTACTAAAAATATTATTTCTAAAGTATGTGGCCCTTGTAAAGGTATTCTTTTATATTAAGTACAGTTATGCATAAAGTAAAATGTGGTAAACTTTCATTTTGCACTAGGTATGAATTTGTATTGCTAACTGTCTTTGTAACTAATTTATGTATACTCTAAATGGTGTAGCATGTGATTTTATTATAGTTGATTAACTTTGTAATTTCTGTAACTACATCGATATCACAGTCTACCTGGGAAATTAAGTCTGTTAGCCATAGTTTCTGTAGGAGACAGTCTATTGCCAAATGAAGCCTGAATCTTTCATTTATTTTGTCCCCAATTACAGAGTGGAGGTTTAGAGGAGTGGGGTTAGATAATGCTCAGATTAGAAATACAAAGGCAGTTGTCAGATCCTCTCATTTTACTGTTGAAGAAACGGAGTTGTAAACATTACAAGAGCTAGTTAACTGGTGAGTAGCAGCCCTGGTATTAAAGCACAAGTCTCTGGATTGATTCTTAGTTCAGTGCTTTTCCTATTTTTGTCAGGAAGATATCCCTTAAAGAATTTCAAGAACAGAACTGGATCTGAAGACCTAGATTTTAGTTAGTCCTACTTCTGCTAATAACTGCATGTGTGACCCTCCCCAAGCTGGTTGACCTCTTTGGGCTTTTACTGATGCTCAGTAGTTCCCGTACTTTGAATATCATGTTGAAATAAAATAGTTTTGTTGGCAGATTTCTGAGTTTTTGAGCAGTGACGTTTAAAACGAAGCAATAGCTGATATTTATTGTCACCATCGTTTTGTAAAACCCGAAGCACTTTTTTTATATCTTAAGTGCAGTCCTATAAATTGAATACATTTAGTTAGTTTTTGTTTTGTTTTGTTTTGTTTTGCTTTGTTTTTTATAATGGCTTGTTAAGCCATTATAATGGGTATCCTGATGAGGTCTTATGAACATCTCATGTTGATCTAACTTTTCTCATTTTGACTGGAATCTGTGAACTCCATAATCAGGACACATCTCTGTACCTCTCAACACAGAGTTTGTAATTCTGTCATTGGATATGAACAAAAGTGCACTTATTTATTGGAATGAATACCACTGAGTGCCTGGAAGCATCGACTTAAACTGTGTACAAGGCTTCCAGTGCTTCGTGTACAACTTCTTCAATTGCGGACACCCACCTGTAATCTTAGCATATTATATTTCTTCTTCTCTGAAACTTCTGGTAAAAGAAGTGAAGTGAAGTGTGGCAGCAAACACTGGAGAATTATTCATTCTGTAGTGTTTCTTTGTTTGAGATCATTATGGCTGGGTGCATCTGTTAACAGTTTCTTCACCTAAAGTAGTGATAGTAGTTGTCAAGAATTTAGAAGGTAAAGATTCCTGAGTCTTAGTTACTATAAAGTTAACATTTAACTGACATAGAATTAAGGTCCAACATAAACAGAGAAAAAATTAGGTCAAGTTAAACTCTGATAGCAAAGACTAATATTAGATATTGTGATTTTTCTCCATAGGATAAGCCAGAGACATGGGAAAACCAATGGAAATGTTTCAAAGTTCTTCTCTTTAATCACTTCTGTATCCAGCTGCCTTTGATTTGTGGAACCTATTATTTTACAGAGTATTTCAATATTCCTTATGATTGGGAAAGAATGCCAAGATGGTATGTAGATAAAAATTTGGCTTTTACACGCAATGGTGGCTTATTCAATTAAGTTATAGTTAATATTTACCCTTTTTCTTAATTTTAATTAATGTTTGTTCTAAACTTTGGAAGTAAATAAATAGTAGAAAACTAAACCATAGTAAAATCTTAAAATGTTTCCATTTTTACATCTTTTAAATATTTTATTGGAAGGTGAGCGTCTAGTATCAGAAGTTTCCATAACGTCTTTTGTATGTTTATATACATATATAAGTGCTTATGTTGACAAAAAATATGTCACATTTTAAGTTTAAAATAAATGAAATATATGAGAATCATTTACGAGGTTTATAGAAATTGTGTTCATATAAACAAAAATATGTATGTGTATATATACACATATACACACACATATATATACTCATGCATCACTTAACAGGGATACTTCTTGTGAAACGTGTCATTAGGCAAGTTGTGCAAACATTGTAATGAAATGAAATTGGTCTAGTGGGCAGTCTCTTTAACCTTACATCAGATTATGTAGCTGTATCTGGTGGTTTTGAGAATTTATTTATGAATATATCCAATTAGGTCAACCTGGTAACCTGGGGTGTTTAGTTTTATGTAATGTCTCAAGCATCCCCACTAAAAGTCTGGACAGTTTAAGTAAACATTATTTCTTACACATTACAACATTTTTATCTTAAAGGTATTTTCTTTTGGCAAGATGCTTTGGCTGTGCAGTCATTGAAGATACTTGGCACTATTTTCTGCATAGACTCTTACACCACAAAAGAATATACAAATATATTCATAAAGTTCATCATGAGTTTCAGGTATGTGAGAGTTATATTTAATTCTTTCTGTTCAAGGCAAAATGTCTGTTTTCATTGCCCGAGCATTTTTCTAAAATTGTTGGTGACGTTTTTATTTTCTTTTCCTTTGGCATGATTATTAAGAACAACACACACACGCACATACAAACAAGTCAATTCTACACATTGCCTTCATTATTTAAATTTCATGGTAAAGTGAGATCTGAAAGAAAAGTATTACATGAAAGTTTGGACTTCCATCCTTGTGGACAGTGCTACACTGGCACAGCTAGATCCTCACATTGCTAACTCCCACAAAAACAGTGACTTTTATTAGAACTGCCTTTTTTTTTTTTTTTTTTTTTGGGAGATGGAGTTTTGTTCTTGTTGTCCAGTCTGGATTGCAATGGCATGAGCTCGGCTCACTGCAGCCTTCACCTCCTGGGTTCAAGCGATTCTCCTGCCTCAGCTTCTCAAGTAGCTGGGATTACAGGCATGCGTCACCACGCGTGGCTAATTTTGTATTTTTAGTAGAGACGGGATTTCACTATGTTGGTCAGGCTGGTCTCGAACTCCTGACCTTGGGTGATCCACCCACCTTGGACTCCCAAAGTGCTGGGATTACAGGTGTGAGCTACCATGCCCGGCCTATTAGAATTGCTTTGATGTAGCTTTATCAAACTGGCTATGTATGTTTTGCATTGATCGTGGTTACATGGTATGCAAGTGTATGGCTAGATAAATCATCATTACATATAGAATCAATATAACTTTGTAAAACTTTATGCATAAATAGAATATATGTATTAGTGAAGATCTCCAGTGAAGCAGAATCATTGGGGCATATATACACAGAGAGAGAGAGAGATTTATTTTAAGGAATTGGCTCATGCAAGTGTGGGGCTATCAAGTCTGAAATCTGTAAAGCAGGCTACAGACTGGAAATCCGGGTAAGAATTGTTGCAGCATTGGGTCCAAATTCCGTGGCGCAGCAAGTTGGAAACTCAGGCAGGGTTTCGGTGTTGCAGTCTTGAGAATCCTTCTTCAGGAAACCTCAGCCTTTATCCTGAAGGCCTTCAAATGATTGGATGAAGCCCACCCTCATTATGAAGGGTAATCACCTTTACTCAGAGTCTACTGATTTAAATGTTAACAACATCTAAAAAATACCTTCACAACAACATCTAGACTGATATTAATCAAACAGTTGGGTATCATAGCCTAGCCAAGTTGACACATAAAATTAACCATCACAATAGCTAAGAAATGAAGAATTTCTTATCTGTTTGTTTTAGGCTCCATTTGGAATGGAAGCTGAATATGCACATCCTTTGGAGACTCTAATTCTTGGAACTGGATTTTTCATTGGCATCGTGCTTTTGTGTGATCATGTAATTCTTCTTTGGGCATGGGTGACCATTCGTTTATTAGAAACTATTGATGTCCATAGGTGAGTATCGATTTCTGTTCAGGTATAAAATATAATGAAATGTATTTATTTTCATGGCTGTCAGATTATCATATTTCTAAGTACACTAATAGAAGTTAATCTTCTTAATGTTATATTAAGAAAACATAATTGTTGAATATAAGTTTAAATAATAGATGTTTTTACATTCTAGCCTATGCTGTTATAATTTTTGTAGTGATAATGTGTTATTAGGGCAAATATATATTTAGGACAAGCAATTTCTTTATCCTTCTGTAATAAACCTAAACCTAACTCATATTTGAAAAAATATCAAAGCATTCAGCCTTCATTGAATAAGACTTTCTAATCTCTACTGTTCAGCACTGATAAAAGCACTTGCAAGATGAAACTACTGCTTGTAGTATGTACATATTTCAAATGCTTCCTTTCTGTTGATTGGAAGACATTTTGTGGTAAATTATTTATATTGAATGCCTTCTTAAATGCTTATTCTAATTGTTCATTATTTTTTAATTATGTGTTCATTGCATTTTGACTTGGGACGTACTTTTGTGCTCATGAATGCAGAATATCAAATTCTAAGGATTATTTTTAAAGTGCTAAAGTAGCAAAATTAATGCTTCTAGTCCTAGGCAGAGAATATTCTTCTGTAGAAAAATTGTAATTGACATTTCTTTCATTTTTTTCTATCCATTGTTTCTTTCTGCCTTCCTTCCTCTAAGCCCCTCAAAGGAAGAGAGGGTTAGAGAGATTCACATAAGTCTAACTGGATGTCATTGTAGATATGCACTTAGAAATAAAGGAGCATACTTTAAATGGGACTCTTTTTTGAAGCCATTTGTCTTCTCCCAACTATAGAAAAGTACACTGGTATTTTGGTTAATTGTGGTACATTTGATTCCAACTTGTCAATTGCCTAAAAAACTAAATGAAGTTGCTATACAGGGATTCGTGGGCCTGCCCTTTTTAATACTTGATACTAATTTTATGTGACTTTCCCTAAAAAACATATTTAGTGTTTTGGGCTTCATTTACAAGTGTTATAGATTATGGTGAGAAAGCTTCCTCTAAAACATAAAAGAAAATTAATTCTTAAAAATCTGTGTCTAAAGATTCATTACTATAATCCCTGTCTTCCATCATTCACATATTTTATCATAAAATAAATGATTTTCATAGATTTTTTTTAAGGATTTTTTTTCTTAGAGTGGTTTCTAGAATATACACCATTTTCTGTGTTTGCTGTTTGTGAACATCTTAGAAATAAAGTGGTCTAGGCAAAGTGTAATGTTATCTAAATTGGTTAATGTGAACACATGATTATTAATAGAAACAACAATTATTTGAGATGTATTTATTCCTTAATAATCTTTATCATTTTTGTTTCAGTGGTTATGATATTCCTCTCAACCCTTTAAATCTGATCCCTTTCTATGCTGGTTCTCGGCATCATGATTTCCACCACATGAACTTCATTGGAAACTATGCTTCAACATTTACATGGTGGGATCGAATTTTTGGAACAGACTCTCAATATCATGCCTATTATGAAAAGAGGAAGAAGTTTGAGAAAAAGACTGAATAAATATCTCGTGTAAACCTTCCTGAAAGATAAACGTTTTCCTGAATTCAGAAGCTAGTAGCTAACATTCTGGAGAGCAGAAATAAGCATGTCTTCTGGCTACTAAGTGATAAAAAGAACATTAACAACCTTTAATTACCTTCCTAGTGGGAACTTTTTCTACTTTACCTACAAGTTCTATATATGTAGAAATGAGTGAATATATATTTAAGTACAGTTTTCATGAGAAAGTTTTAAAGGCCATGTTCCTAAGCTTCCAAGAAGGTTTTGGGTACTAGAAGTATTAATCTATGGCTTTTCTCCCAGTAAAACCATAGGCCTGAAGTTGACATTGGTCTTTAAATCTTTTAGATACATCCTGGTCATTTCAGAAAATTCTTCATAGTGGTGTTGGCCTTATATTTAACTTTTTTGGGTTTTTTTGAGATGAAGCCACACTCTGTCGCCTAGGCTGGAGTGTAGCAGCACAATCTCGGCTCACTGCAACCTCTGCCTCCCAGTTCAAGCCATTCTCCTGCCTCAGCCTCCCAAGTAGCTGGGATTACAGGCACCCACCACCATGCCTAGCTAATTTTTGTATTTTTGTAGAGATGGGGTTTCACGATGTTGGCCAGGCTGGTCTTGAACTTCTGACCTCAAGTGATCTGCCCACCTTGGCCTCCCAAAGTGCTGAGATTATAGGTATAAGCCACTGTGCCCAGCCTTTTTAACTTTAAACATGTTTTAGAATTTGCCAAAAGATCAAAATGTCATGGATTGAACCTCATCAATTGATGGCAGTGAGTGACTGAAGCTTCCAAATCAAGAAAAGCCAGCACCAAGAACTTCCATTCTAATCTAGACTGACCAGTTTGAGCTGATTCTCCTTGAAGAGTCCTTCTTGATTGCAGTGCAGTACTGGCATTTCTGAGTGGATGTAAGTGGAGTATTTTAATCTAAAGGCTTTTCAAGTTACTTGAATTTTTTAAAAAATTGAGGAGCTTTATTTCTATTTACCCTTTCATTTTTGTATATCAAATTTCCATTGTCATTAAAAACTGTATCTTGAAAGTTTGTGAACTGACTTGCTGTATTTGCACTTTGAGCTCTTGAAATAAATGTGATTTTTGTCTGATTATCTGGTTTCCAGTTTTAAACATTGTCACCTTTTATTCTTAAAATTGAAAGTACAGAAATTAAGTTATTAAGTTTTACAACAAAAGGATTGGTTTCTATTTTTTTTTTTAAGTGCTTCCTTTGCCGAAATGTTTCCTTGCTGTTTGAACATGAATTTTTCAGGTTTAATTATTGTGGGAAATCGTCTTGACCTAGTAAAGCAATACTTATTGAAGCAGCTCTTTGCCCTGCTTAGATAATGTGTGTTTTCTCTACAGTTGAAGAATAGAGCTAAACTTTTCAGGACTGATAGAATCTCAAGTATCTAAGTTGTAACTCATCAAGGGTTGGTAATTCTTAGATATGGTGGTAATTATTTTTATTTTTTTAACTGTGGAGTCATTATCTGGTGACTTCCTTTTTTTTTCTTTTTTTGAAAGCTTACGCAGTAAAGATGTCCAAGTAAGGGATTCAGATACTTAAAACTGATAAAATGTTTTGTTTGTAGGTCACGCTTTTGTATGTGGTTCGTATGTCCACCGTGTGTGTGTGTGTATGTGTGTAAATTTGTTACAACCCTCAAGCAACAAATTTGGGGCTGGCTGCAATTAAAATTGTGCTGTTTGCTACAAATAGAGCTACTATACAATCCAGAAATCCCATTACCGGGCAATTATCTAAAGGAAATGAAATCGGTATATGGACGAGACATCTGCACTCTCAAGTTTATTGTAGCATTTCACAATAGCCAAGAGAGGGAATCAATGTAGGTGTGGATTAAGAAAATGTGGCATATATACACAATGGAATACTTCTCAGCCACAAAAAAGAACCTTGTCATTTGTGGCAACATGGAAGGAACTGGAAGACACTGTGTTAGGTGAAATAAGCCAGGAAGAAAGTTAAATACTGCGTGTTCTCACTCGTGGAAGCTAAAAAGAGTTGATCTCAGTAGTAAAATACCAGAAGACACTTGAGGCTGGGAAGGGGAGGGAGCACAGAGGGATAGAAACATTTGTTAAAGAATATAAAATTACAGTTGGAAGGGAGAAATACTGATGTTCTATAACACCATAGGATGACTATAGCTAGAAGGAGAATATTGACTTCCCAACACAAATGATAAATGTCTGAGTTAATGGATATGCTAATCACTATACATTACATGTATTGAAATGTCACTGTGTACTCCACAAATATGTACAACTGTATGTCAATTTAAAGAGTGTGCTTTTATTTTGGGAGGCCAAGGCGGGTGGATTACCTGAGGTCAGGAGTTCGAGACCAGCCTGACCAAAATGGTGAAACCACATCTCTACTACAGATACAAAAAATTAGCCGGATATTGTGGCGAGTGTGGTGGTGGGCGTCTGTAATCCCAGCTACTCGGGAGGCTGAGGCAGGAGAATGGCTTGAACCCGGGAGGTGGACATTGCAGTGAGCTGAGGTCACACCATTGCACACCAACCTGGGCAACAAGAGCGGGGAAACTCCATCTCAAAAAAAAAAAAAAAAAAGTCTGCTGTTTAGTTACAACTATAAGAATTCTTTTATCTTCTACCTTTTACTCCCTAATACTCATGGAATGCCCAGTATCTGAATTAGCAATAAAAGGTGACTCCCTGTTAGCACTTAGGGAGAGAGTGACACCTGCTGCTGGAAACTCTGCTAAACGTTTTAAACTAACTTGGTAAATTCCAACTCATGCTTCGTACTACACGTTTATTGAGCACTTCCTTTGTGTCCTGAATTGTGCTATGTTTAGTATGCTGAGATTTTAATGCACATTCTCATTTGATTTCTGAGGTAGATGCTATTTTCTCTATTTGACAGATGAGAGAATTGTCTGAGAGGTTCAGATCACAGGCCCGGTCTTTTGACTTTTGAAGCTGTGCTTGTGGCTACTATGTTCACTATGCTGGAGAGTTGCATCTTCTATAAAACTCGTAGGGAATACTTTTAAAAGTGATATTTGAAGGGAAAAAAGGTTCTAAACCAGTAGTCATCCAGGAAGTGGTAAGACACATACAAGTATGTTGGTATAGAGTAGACAGACTTTAAGCTAACTTACCAGCCAAACCTTTCTTTTTAAAATTTCCTAAATTAACCTTCTAACTATACTGGCATTTGATAATGAGACAAAAATAAATATGAAGACTAGAATACAGAACAGAGTACATAACTCTGACTCTAGCAGATAATTCACAAGTTTTTTTTTTTTTTTTTTTTTTTTTTTTTAAGACAGGGTCTTGCTCTGTCTCCCACTGGAGTGCAATGGTGCCATCTTGGCTCACTGCAGCCTCCACCTCCTGGGTTCAAGTGATCCTCCCATCTCAGTCTCCTGAGTAGCTAGGACCACAGGTGTGTGCCACCACATGCAGCTAGTTTATTTTTTATAGAGACAAGGCCGCACTATGTTGCCCAGGCTGATCTTGAACTGTCTCAAGTGATCCTCCCACTTCAGCCTCCGTGCCCAGCTGACAAAAGATACTCTGTTTCTTGGATTATCTATTTGGATTTTACTAATTGTTTAAAAGTTTAGTTAATATTATAATTTAAAAATTAGTAGTAGAGTATGCTTAGAATTATATTGGTATAATTAACTAGTATTTTACTCTTTGCTACATATTTGGCTAAAGACAGTTAGACCTTTGGATAAGATTGGTTCTGTGGAGACTCTTACCCCAACTTCAAATTCTCATGCTCTTATGTAAAACCTAGTAGGTTTTTTGTGTTTTGTTTTGTTTTGTTTGAGATGGAGTCTCACTCTGTTGCCCAGGCTGGAGTGCAGTGGCACGATCTCGGCTCCCTGCAACCTTGCAACCTCCACCTCCCGGGTTTAAACAATTCTCCTGCCTCAGCCTCCTGAGTAGCTGGGATTACAGGTGCCCACCACCACTCCCAGCTATTTTTTTTGTATTTTTTAGTACAGACAGGATTTCACCACGTTGGCCAGGTTTGAACTCCTGACCTTGTGGTCCGCCCGCCTCAGCCTCCCAAAGTGCTGGGATTACAGACGTGAACCACCGCGCCCAGCCTAGTAGGGCTTTTTAATTCCACATTTAAGTTCTGTATTTCCATAGAGAGAGAGAGTATCTAAGCTCTTCCTGAAGAGTGAGCACCTTGTTTCTGAAGGTTTAGCTCCTAATCCATTCTTGCAAAAGAATATAATTTTTCAGCCAATGTTAGAAAGAGTAGCATGCCATTAGTCTACTGAATGCTGTCTCTGCAAGTGACTGCCAAATGTTGACATTCTTACATGAAATCATCAGAAGGCCATGGTAAAATGTCTTCAGTACATATGCTTAGAGGTCTGTTGCATTCTAAAAGACTAAAGAAAAAGGACATGAATGGCTAGAATCTAAGATATGAAATGTTACTTTCAAACTATCAAGAAAATAAGTAATTCAACTCAGGGACACAGGCTGCTCTTTGTGCACTCACAAAAAGAAAGAGACCGTGACGGAATGAGAACATGGGATAACTAACCCACAAGCTGCGCATAGGATGCTGAAACCAGCACTGCAGGGATAGTAACAGGAGAGATTACTGTGCACGCCCTGCCAGCGGGTCTTGCTCCCTTGCTTTAGGAAACTCCTTGGCTCCTGGTGATTGGCTCATTCCCTGGAAAGCCTTTCCCCCTCCTCTCTCTGGAGAGCTATTTCCTCATCTATGAAATGAGGATACTAATACTTCATGGGTTTGCGAGGATTCAGTAAGATGCACCATGTGAAGTATGCGATGCATGTAATGAATGTTAGCTATTTTTAAAATTCCCTCCCTTTATTTAAAGATCCAGTTCAAGACTCATCGCACCACTCCATCAGCCCCACTCTTCTTTCTGAGGTCTTATTTCTGCTTCAGATAAGATAAATCTCTCCCACTCTCCCTCACTCAGAGTTCTGTGACACTCATCTCTGTCAGCTCTCAGCATACGCCACCTTGTGTTTTCTGCTCCAGACAGAGATTGGAAGATATTTTTGAAGAAACTGAACCCAACCCACAGAAAAATACAAAGTTTGAAAAGACTGACTTGCTGCCCGATTATTTAGAATGGTTTTACAATCACATTTGCAAATTGTATTGCTACCTCTTTTTTAGCCAAAGGTTTCTCTTTTGCACTGTGTGCTTTCATTCTTCTGCACATTTGCTCAGGCAGTGAGCAAATGTGCCTAACAGTGAGCAAACATTTGCCTAACCCTCAGCCAGTGAAGGTTATTAATATGGTCAAAGGCACACAGGTGGTTCGTGGCAAAGCTGACTGCAGAGTTGAGATCTTCCCACTCTGTGTGTATTTTCTCCCTTGTTATGTATACCTGGCACCTTGCCTCGAACATGGTAGGAGTTCAATAAATATCTGTCAATTAAAACAAAGAGAGGACATTGTAATAGCATCATAATATAGGAGTGGTAAGTAAGCTGCCATTTTAATAATCAGTTCAGAAGGTTTTTAGTAATTAACAGCAAACGATGGGGCAGGAGAGGACAAGGAAAGAAGAGGGTTCTTGAAATACAAGCCAGAGTCAGAACCAGGTGTGGGGGCTGCCGGGTTCAGTTGAAGTCTGGCTGCATTCTAATGCTTTGGCAACTTAAACTTTGACTTCACTGGTGCATGTTCTTGTGGGTTATGCAGCTTGATATGCTCTTTGAGGGACCAAATTATATATTAGAGCGCATTCATGTCCATTTAAGTTCGTGTCCAGCTAATAAAGAAAATTTAGAACTATTTAGTCTGTTGGCAGATTTTAGTCAGACCTCTTGTATTCCGTGAAGGTTCTCTGAGCTTTGTTTTGCTATAAAATAATTCATCTGATAATAAAAAAATATTATGATGGTATAGAGGTAGGAGAATAAGGAATTGGTCACTGCCCAATTCCTTACTGGAATATATCATTAGCATATTAGAATGGGAGGCTGAGCTGCCTAATTCCTGCATTTCTATGTCATAGGAAAATGATCTTCAAGTTGGAAAAGGAAACAGTTAAACTAGTCCTGTTCAAAGGGAACCAAATCCCAAAGAGGAGGAAATTTTTAGCAAAGTGCTTCACACATTTTAATAAACTTTTTATTTTATTTTTATTTTTATTTTTTTTTTGAGACA